AACTTGTAGAATTAATTTAAAAAAAATTTTATTAAATTTGATCAAGTTTTTGTTAAGTTATTCTTGTTTAAAATTTTTAAAAAAAACTTATTAAAAAATATTTGCTTGGTTTCTATTGACTCAATCCCATATATAAATCAACTTATCTTAAAAAAAAATAATAAATATTTATTTAAAAAAATTTTTTTTGTTATATTGTTTAATATTACCATAATATAAAGACTTACTAAAACGCACCTATGGTGTTTTACACCTATGTATACATTACTACAAAATTTATATTAAAAATTTTATATACAAAACTTAGAAAATATAATAAAAAAATATGATAAGTGTAAAAACACAAGTACGTTTTATAATAGTTCTAATATTATATAACCAATTTTTTTTTAAACATTTATTAGCACTTATGGCGGTTTTGCACCTATCGTATGTTTTTATTATGTTTTTATTATGTTTTTTGAATTTTCTAAGTTTTTAATATAATAATTTTCATTTCATCTTAGTGTTAGTATTTTGGGTCAGAGTTAAGATTGGGAAGGGTTTTTAAAGGCGTAGAGCATTTTTACTTAGGATATCTTGCACTGATCGATTAGCCTGTTTTGAGATAGCATATACATAGCTGATAGGTGTAAAACATCATAGGTGCATTTTAGTAAATGCAGGTTGACAAGAGTCAACAGATCGAAAAGACGGGAGAACGGTCAGGTTACACTACAACCCTGCCTGATAACATGGGTCGGGGATCGAAAGAGACATCAGACTTCAAAGTTTCATGCGAACAAAGTGACGTAACAATCAGTATTTAAGAATCGACAAATTGCTTACTTGCGACACTCGTTCCTCTGTCAACAAACCAGGCATTACAACCGTCGACCCAACCCTTCCCACCACACATTGTAGTCTCCTGATTCTGCCATTTTCCTATTTAACAGCCGGCCTGCTTCGAGCAGGCGGGAAACCACCGGCTGATACTGCTTCTCACTCATTCTTGATGATACCCGGCGCAATTTCACTTGCTAATTTTTCCGGGAGCATATCATCGTTTCAGTTCAAATTACTCGGCTTAAATCAAATTACGCAGCTCAAATTACTCACAATGTATTCTGCGGACTTAAAGTCCTTTAATTGAATTTACTGTATTTCCGGCACCTTTGGCTTGCTGGCATTATTCCAATCGCATGACCGTTCGTACCTATGTTTTTCGAGTCTTTTTTAAATATTAAATCTTTTAATAAATGAAGGTTATTTAACTTTTTTTATAAATTTTTAACCCAATTTTTTTTTTTTTTTGCAAACTAATTAAATTTTTTTAAATATATTGAATTATTTTTGGCTTTAATTAAACTTTATTTAATTTTATTTAACTTTATGATATATATATATATATATATAACATTTATTTTTTTATTTTTATTTTATTTTATATTTAAAATAATTTTTTTAACTAAATTTTTTATTAGCAATTTAAATCTATAATTTTTACAAGTAATAAGAATATAATTAATTATAATACAATTTTAGATTGTTTATTTAAATAGTTTACTTGAAATTTTATACTAGCTATTTTGTTTAAAAAATTATTTATTGAAGCACTTTACTCTTTAACTTCACAGAAACATGCAAATTTGCAGCTTTAATGCTACTTGCAATTAAATATAAAATAACTATGTAGTTACTTTATAGTAACTATACACGTAGTTTATTTGCGGGAAATCTTACATTTTTGCGAAAGCGACAAAATATCCTAGATATAGCGTAAATTATTAATAATATAGGTCTCTAACAGGAAATTTTCATAACAAAGCGATAATTTAGCTTCTTACTAGTTCTATTAACGAGGTTTTGACGAGGCTTTTTGACTGAGTGTGAAAAATTTCTAATTTTCATACTCAGTCAAAAAGCCTTGTCGAAACCTCGTTAATAGTGCTAGTAAGAAGCTAAATTATCGCTTTGTTATGAAAATTTCCTGTTAGAGACCTATATTATTAATAATTTGCGCTATATCTAGGATATTTTGTCGCAAAAATTTAAGATTTCCGCAAAGACAATTTTATAAAAATCAAAATTTCAATTTTTAAAATTTTTTATAATATTGTAGTAAAAGTGTTGCTAATATACAATAACGTAATGTAGTAGTAAAATAGTAGTAGGGGTATTGCTAAATGTAAAACTATAGTTACTATATATGATAACTTTATAGTTAATTGCAAGTAGCATTAAGTATTTATTATATATATTTTTTATATTAATACAAAATAAATCTTTAAAAAATTAAATTGAAAAGCATTTAGTTGAAATCTTTTACGAATTAGGACTAAAATGGAGATGTCAAAGAAAAGAAGTTATTTTAATAATTAGCAATTATATTTAAAAAAAAATAAAATAAATTGTTGGTGAACGATATACGGATGCTATTAAACCTTTCATTAATGGCTTGATTAAATAGTAAAAAGATTAAAGCCACTTTCCAGTATTCTGTAACATAACACTCATTAGAAAATTTATGATGAATTTTTTTTATTTATACTATAATAACGTTAAAAGTATAATCACTCATATAATCACTTTACAAATGTTAATTTCTTTTATTTGAAACAAAAATGTAATAACCTTACATAATATATATAACATATACAAGATATACCAAAAATAATTAAAATTTAACAAAATTTCTTGAATAAACTGTTACAAAGGTTTACTGTAATTTGAAAACAGGCTAAAAAATAAAGTGCCTACTACAACCCATCCAACTAAGCCTGTAACAAGGAAAACAACTCCTTTTCCAAATCGTTTTCTTCTATGTTTAATATTACTTGTATAGACACTATCATCTAGATCATAATCAACTCCAGATATCCAAAGTAATAGTGCATTTAAAGCATAATGTCCATCTAGTTTAAATGCTGGCAATATGTTAAGAACACCTAATGCAAGTGAAAAAGAAATAGTATACCTAAAATAATAAATTTATATAATAAATTTATATAATATTTAAGATTATAAATAATCGTTTAATTGAAACATATCAAAATAAATTTTGACTTCGTTACCGTAAAGTCAATTCAATAGATATTGGAATCCATATCGGTACCCATGACCATCTGGGTTGAAGGATACTAACTTGTACTAAATTTAATATGTATATGTGTGAAAAACATCTGTATATAAAGTAGTGATTGTAGTCGATTTAGCATTAGTCGATAAAATCGACTTAGCCGACTAAGTCGATCGATTTTTTAAAAATTTGACTCAGTCGATTCTTAGTTATGTATATAGGAATGGTCGGGTGATTTAGGAAAACTAGAATTTGTAATTGTAGGCTTTCGGAAAATTTCGGGATAATATAATAAAAGTAATTGACCTTGCATAGTCAGCTAAGCCGATTTTTAAATTTCGACTTAGTCAAGTCGATAAGTTTAGGTCGACTACAAACACTAATATAAAGGTTCACAAAATTTCTCTGCCAATTATGATTGTGAAAAACTCACCAATTTCCCATACATCAACGAGTTCACCAATATATAATACGAGTTTCTCTTGATCATCATTTTCTTGAACCCATGGTGCATCCTTAAAATATATTCTTAAAGGTTTCGGATAACCTTTGGGCATATATGGTAAAACACACATTGACGAAGCAGATGAACAATCAGCGTCATTAAGGCAACGTTTTGCGTCAATATTTAAAAGTATTGGTATTGTGGGTAAACATGCTAATTCCTTGAAAAAACATACTTTTATTAGAAAGTATTATTCTGATAAAAGTTTATTAAGAAAAAGGCGAAAATCAAACCTGTTTATGTTCATTGTTTTCATCAATTCTCTTGAAACATGAAGTCATATTATCTTTTGCATTTCCATAAGGATGGTCAATAGAAATATCACAACAATCCAATGACGCTGAATCCTTTTTTGAAGCGCAAAATCCTAAAGAGTCAATATATAGTTTTTCATTTTGTAAAAGATAATCATTCCAACTATCCAATGATGATCCTGACAAGTCGAAATCATCTAATTTCGTTATTAACATTGAAGGTTTTAAATAAGTAGACAATGCAGTATCCTAACAAATAAAATATATAATAAGAAACTGGTATTTTTATACAATTAGATAAATATATAAATATATAACTATTATAACATACACTTTCAACAGAAACGACACTAACTCCGAGACCATCCACTAGCCTCCAAGCAGTGTTACCCATAAACATTGTTAATATCCCAGTGTTAAGTAATAATGTACCCAAAAGAAATAAGACAGCATTATGCCACACTCCTGCACATATTATGCGAAGTTGTTTAAGAGCAGAAAGATCTTTTAATTCATGTAAATCAAATTCTACAAAAGCTCCAGGATAAAGGATATATAGAAATATTCCCGTCGATTTAATCTCAATACGTTCCCTTTAAAATAAATAGAAAGTTAATATATAGCAAAGTTAACCATGATAATTAAATATATATAATTTATACTTTGCGGCAGCAAGAGCATGACCGGCCTCATGGATTACTCCACATATCAAAAGTGCCAAAAGATAATACCAAAAATGTGAAATTGGTAAAGTAATACCAGGAATCTAAATATATAGATATATATATATTAAGATTTTTTTTTTATACTAAGCTTAATTATAATCTTAAAATAAATAAATAAATATTTTTTCTTTACTTACCACAGGAATAAATACTTGATGATCTTTTTCATTGATATCATGTTGAACATTATTATCTTCAAAGCTCCTTTTTACAATATCTGGTGATACAATTTCCGTCTCGGCAGACCAACTTGATCCAAGTAAATCAAATATCGCTATTAAAAGTTTCCAACTAGCCACAATCATGGTGCCAATACCAAATAAGAAAGTTATAATCCCTACTACCACACCAATAGTAAACCATATTTTCCAAAATTTTGGTAATCGTTTAACGATTGATCCAAAAACATTATTTAAAATATTAGTTGAAAATCTTATATTAAAAGGATTGTTTGATATGTGAAATATCGGAGAATGGCTTTGTAATCTTGATAAAGGAAGACTTGATGATATTCGAGGGTTCGTTAATGTTTGCTAAAAAATAAAATAAAGTATTTTTTGTATAAAAAATGAATGATTTCGATACATCAATTTTTTAAGAATACTATACTTTTGATTGTAATTTCTGCTGTATGAAAAGAACAATTGTATGAACTATTAGCCAGAAGCTAAAAAACGTCATAATTAAATCGAACATGGTTTTTATATTTTGGAGATAAAGTTTTGATTTAGAGGTAAAATAGTTGCTAACCTGATTTATATCGATATTGTAGGGTGATCACATTTCTGCGTAACTAATTAATACGTACGTACGTACGCAGATATTGACGCCATTATTTTTGAAAAAAAAATAGTGCAGTCAACGAATTCTCTCTATAATGAACTCTGAGGGGAAACTTGGACGTAATCATACTGTACGTACTACAAAGTCTGATGCCAATTGGAACTTAATACTGTATAAATAAGGAAACTATAATATACTTTAATGAATTTTGCAACAAAAATATATCGATATGTTTTTTGGTTCTCATAGTCTGAGTGGGTCAAGGCGCAGTAAAAGACTCGACAAAAGGAAAAAATTATATGTTAAAATTAGATAAAAAATACGTGTATGTATATTTTCACTCATTCGATTCTAATCTCGAGAAAAATTTAATTCGTCAAAATTCCCATCCTTCTCAAAATTCAAAATTATTGTAAAACATAGCTTTCATAATGTTGTATCAAAAAAATAAAGCTTTTATATTGCTTACTCGTTAAAACATACCATTTTACTCATGTCTTGTTATGAAAATGCATAATCTTTAATGGAGGAAAAAATTTTTATTTTTCAGTACGAATTTGGTTTTTTCATTCAATCGGTATTCGATAGATGACTAATTCATTTTGTAACTGTAATTGTTTGAGTACTTAGATTTGTTTCGGTTTCTAAGCTTGTATTACCGGGCTAACAAGTATCGCAATAATAAAATCATAACTGTTTTGTGAAATTTAAATATTTTTTATATTTAAACATACGTATAATACATAGCAATTATTCAATATATAGTTAACACAAAAGATGTTTATTATGTAATACCATTATCATAATATCAAAAAGAATAGTTCTAGCGCTTACTCTAATCCTAACCACCTAAAAGGATCACTTGAATTTTAAGAGTTTGTTAACTATGCCTAATGTTGGCGTCATTTACATTCAATTATGTAACAACTTATCAGTTATATTGTTAATTTAAATCTACTTTAACGCGACAAGTCTATAAAGTATTCTCTTAATGTTCATCTTAAATGAAAATTAAATCTTAAATTTTAAAATGAAATTAAATCTTAAAATGAAATTAAGGATTATTTCATTATGATTATAAATATAGATATCACTTTTAAAACGACAAATTTCAATTCTCTGAATAGAAGATGTATTATTTATCCATTTCATTTTAACCATTATCGTTATCAGTTATATTTATCTAACCTGAAAATTAAATTCTTAACCTCAAACAATTGCCCCACTCACATATAACATCTTAAATAATTGTATGTTTAGTTAAGTTACTAAAAAAACTGTCATCCAAATTCAACTTTAACATATTCTCAATTGGTAAAACAGTATTTAACACACAGATATGTGAGATCAAATAATTCGCGTATTTTTCAAATTTGTACTACGACTTTACTAAGTGGTAAAATTTAAATCATATCTACATGGAATATCTTAAAGTAATAAACTAGCAGAAGAATAAGGTACATTACACACCCAAGAAGTACCAATTTGATTTTCACTTATAGCACCTTTTCCAACAATTATTCCATTTTCACTGATTCCACCAAAAATATTTTTTTCTGTAAATATTGTGTTCAAGGTTGGTGAAGAAGCGGAAAAGTCCATCTCCTCTTTATCTGATGTCGCTAGCACTAGATTTATACCTTTTATTAGAAGAATAAACGTTAAATAAGTTTGGTTATATTGAAATAATGCAAATATTTAATCATTAGTAGCTATCTAAACGAAAATATAATTACTATTATTATTAGAAACCTTTGGAATTGATTCGAATTTCGAATAATCTTTTCTGTACATAAACTATTTTATTATGCCAATTTAATAAAAAAAATAGGAAGTTTTTATTATATTTTCAAATCTTTATGAACATAATATTTCAATTTTTAATGAACCTTGATGAACTGTCCATTCTTCAAGTTTTTAGTAGTATCAATGGCCATATTACCACGTACTGGATCTCCACTCAAGATTTTGTTAACCATTAACATTGATTCCTATTTAATAAATTCATAGTTCCAAAAATTTCATTAAACAAATTAATTTTATCTCTTTAAAATCATTATTTAATTAGTATAATACATACATCAAGTTTATTTTCGACATCATATATACCTAAATAATATTCTGTTTCTTTAGATAATGCCTGACCAAAATTTTCAGATTG